GGGAAAAGAAGAGAAAGTTTGAGTTAGACCCATTCCCATCTCTGAGCCTTGGGCTTTCACGGGGCCAGCAGGTAAACTGTGGAGGGCCGAGGGCTGCTGGGGGCCCTGAGCTTGAGCTGAAAGTGGGGTCCTGCTGTCATCATCACACCTAGTCTGAGTCGGGGCTAAAGCTCCATGGAGTTTTTGTGTGGTTATTTTTGGGGGGTGGGGGTACTGGATGTGTCAGGAAATATGTTTTTTTAATATATTTTTATTGATTTCAGAGAGGAAGGGAGAGGGAGAGAGAGATCGAAACATCAATGATGACAGAGAATAATCCATCGGCTGCCTCCTGCATGCCTCACACTGGGGACCAAGTCCACAACCCAGGCATGTGCCCTGACCAGGAATTGATCCACGACCTCCTGGTTCATAGGTCAACACTCAACTACTGAGCCACACCAGTTGAGCCAAGGAAATCCTATATAATGAAAGCCTAATCTGCTAAGTGTCCAACCGTTTGTTCACATGTTCGACCAGTCGCTGTGATGCACACTGACCACCAGGAGGCAGATGCTCCAACCGGTAGGTTAGCTTGCTGCTGGGGTCTGGCCAATTGGGACTGGGCGAGACGGGCCGGACACACCCTGGAGCTGTCCTGCGGTCCCTCCCTGGCCCTGATTGTGCACTGGTGGAGTCCCTCAGCCTGGCCTGTGCCTCTCACAATCTGGGACCCCTCGGGATGTGCAGAAACATGGGGCTGAAGGAGAAGACAAGGAGGATGGGAGCAGAAGAGGTGAGGACTAAGGTGGAAGTGGCCCAGAAGCCACGGGAGCAGGATCTGTGACCCTGTGTCATGAGTCATTTTTGATGCTACGGTGTTATTCCCTCCATCTTCCCAAACCCTCAGTAAAGCCACCTACACTCAAAACTGCCTGTGTGAGGGGAGCGACGGGGGAAGATAAAGAAAATGACTGAGTTTCACATTTGGATTAAACAACCCACATGGTGTGGTGAGACAATGACTACACTGAGTAATATGGTGGAAGCCAGTGCTCACAAACTAAGGTGACCACAAGGCTGTAAGTTGCTAAAAAATTCCCATGAGAAAGTAATCAGATGGTCCATGATCTGTAGATTGAGGTTTTGAACAATCTCATCTAGCCCTTAAGGGGCAAAGAGAGCCCAGCTAACATCTAGATTTTATACTTTTAGTATCTCCTTTGATCATGCAAAATACAGATATAATTATCCTCATCTTCCAAAGAAAAAGGCTCAGAGAGGATAAGTTATTTCCCGAAGCCCCACACCTAATAACAAGTCTAGAATTTGAACCCAAGTCTTCAGCTGCACTTCGCTTAACACTTTGTTTGGGGATTATTATTGACGCACACAGAAAATCACAGAAAGTTGCAAAACCCAATCCGGAGAAGCCCTGCTTCCCAGCATGTGTTTCCATTCATGTTCTCCCTACCACCATGAAACCAGGGACAAAGAACTGAACTGCAGAGATGCGAGTTTTGTGCTAGAACAGGCCTCTTTGGTTTACAGACCGTCAAGCATGGGATCTCTGGATGGAACCAGAGAGAATCAGCAAAAGAGTTCCGCCTGAAGAAGTGCAAGTCCTGGGACAATGGCACAGCCCTGGCTGCACATTTGAATCACCTGGTGGGCTCTTTAAAAATATCAGTGCCTGGCCTGGCCAGTTTGGCTCAGTGGATAGAGAGCATCGGCCTGTGGACTGAGGGTCTCAGGTTCGATTCCAGTCAAGGGCACATGCCTGGGTTGCAGGCTCGATCCCCAGTAAGGCACGTGCAGGAGGCAGCCAATCAGTGATTCTCTCTCATCGTTGATGTTTCTCTCTCTCTCTCCCCCTTCCTCTCTCTCTCCCTTCCTCTCTGAAGTCAATAAAAATATATATTTTTTTTTAAATACCAGTGCCAGCCCCAGGCTTGCAGGTTCTAATCTAATCAGTAAGGTCTGGGGCTTAAGCATCCATATTTCTCCAAGCGTCTCAGGGTTTCTGATAATGCCCCAAGGATTGAGAATGACTGCTCTAAAACTACGCCGTAGGTATCGATAGCTGGGAAGTGATCCCACCCTCTCACCAGAGCCTGGTGTCACGCTTCCCTCCTTCCTGGGCTCATCACTGAGGCCCCAGATAGTGTAAGAGGAGCCTGTGACTGGAGGGGAGGGGAGTAACCAGCAGGGTTGACTTCTCTGCTGTGTTGACTGCAGAGCTTTGCGGTCCTGCCACTCAGAGCTGTGGTTCCCTTTCTGAAATAGTAAATCAGCTCTGGGCACATCAGAGGGGATTATCATTCCGCAGGCACCAGCTTTGTTTTCCGATACATCTAAAGGAAGCAGGTCCACTGATCTCCAGAGCGCTTTCCCAGAAAGCCCCGTCGCCTGCTGTGTGGGGTCACTGGTCAACAATTTGCATCCATCACACCTTGTAGGAAGTGGGGAGGAATTGGCTTGCTTTGTTTCCCTGGCACTGGGGAAACAGATTTCTTCTTAAGCTGCACACAATCAATCGCATTGAATCCTTTCAACAGGGTTCCCATGGCTATGTGAAAGCAAAATCATACAGTAATTGTTCTAAATAATACAGCAAGGCGAACTGGAAAGTACATCTTAATTTTTTGTCATCTGTGCTGTGTTTCTGTTTGTATGGAAATGTTCCCGGGACAGAAGAAAGGTTTTTGCATTCATGGGGAGCCGCTTTGTGAATGTAGTGCAAGGTCAAACACAGACTGGAGTAAACAAACCTACTGCATCCCTCGGCCCCTGCTCTGGCCCCGTGGGCTCGGGGGCCGGTTTATGTAAGTGGGAATTCAGATGGCATTTATCTCTCTGCTACCTGAATACCAAAGCCCACCCTCTCACTGCATAGCCCGCCTCCCCGACCTCTGTAGGAGAGTTGGGGTATACCCTAGGGTGGCGCCTGATAACATCCCCAAATATCAAGTTGTCCCCCTGGTCCTCTGGCATACTCTGCAGGCTTGGGCCCTTCCAGTAGTCTTCGCCCGGCCTCCGCTCCACAATATGAATAACAGACAGTGTGCAAAACTGACCAACCTAGGTTCAGGTCCAAGCCCCAGCAGCCAGGCTGTTGTAAGTTGCCTCAACTCTGAGATCCATTTCTTCATCTGTAAAATGAGGGCAATGATACAGACTGGAGGTTCTGAGTCTCACATGAGGTAATGCATGGACGGTGCTTATCCTAGATCCTGACAAAGCCTCAGCGCTCAGTAAATGTTACTGGTTTTCTATGACCATTATTGTTATTGTTCTTTGTCCATAGAAAAGTCCCCCCCCCCCCATACTAAGGTGAATCTGGGAGCTGTTGGGGTGATATCCAGGAAAATCAACAGTCACTACTGAGTACCTTCCAGATGTCAGAGAGCTTGCTAGGTGCCAGAACATAAAGAAAGAAGGTCTCGTTCCTGCCCACAAAGATTTCTGACACCAGAACTGGTTCCCTCACCACCTCGTGCTAATGAACATGGCACTGGGACTTGCGTGGCCATGGCTGCGGGCCCACCTTGTGTTATAACTCCAGGGAGAAACCCATTCCTGCCTCAGGCTAGACAATCAGTTGAGAAGGAAGAAGGGACTTGCATACCGTCACTGAAAGAGGCATCAACTCGGGTTCCTACACCATGTAGACTCTTCTGTTTCCAAACAGGGATGCAAGTAAGTCCCTCAGCCAAGCCCCAAAGAGAGTTCGGGGTGATCTTCACCCTGGGCCTCGTCCTTTGACCACAGCCGATGTCAATGAGAACCTCGAGTGGGTGGACGATGGGGGAGAAGAGGGACGGAGGCGATGGGAGTGGGAAGACATAGCTTCACCAAGTATGTCTGAGATCACTTGGCAGACAAGCCAATGTTGGAAGGAAAAGGACATTGGCTCTGATCACAGTCTGCCATTGTGAACTCTGTGGAAGTTTACTTTAGCTTTTTCATATTTTTTTAAAAAGAACAACAAATAGAAAGAGCATACATGGAGAAAAAGATTTGCCCACACAGAAGTCAGGTTGGGAGCCAAAACCAAGACATAGTTGAAATGCTTTGCTTTGTTTCTGTGCCTGTGAGGGATGCTCCTTTCTGCAGGTCCCATGGGAAGCTTGGAACAGACCCACCAGATTCCAGGACTGAGCCTCAGCTGGGGCCTGTCTGTGGTCCCCAGGAAGCTGGGGGGGCTTGTCCTTTTGTGCCTCTGGTTTGTTTGTGGCCTCTGCCTGCAACTCACTCCTTGTCAGTCCTGAGCCTGTCCTTTTTCTTTCTAACATTTTGTCATGAGGTAGAGCAGATTTGATGCCATGATTGGGGACTCTCTTCAGTGCACTCACATCCCCTCTACTCTGGCGTTTACCCTCTGGTTATACTCCCTACTTTTCGGTCTCCCCCACTGAATTATGAGCCTTTGGGGTGGGACTGTCTCTTACATGTTATGGGTCTCCAGAGCATAGCAGATTCTGGTACATAGAGGTGTGCAATAAATAGCTGTTGAGTGAGTTGATGCCTACATGAATGCATGAATGACAACACATGCCTCAACACATCAGTATAAAGATGCATTGAATACCAGTATGATGTTCCTTTAGATCTCTCTGCAGGGTTCTAGCTTCTTTAAGCTTACCCTCACCCACTCAGAAATTCCAGCACTCTCCCAATCCTACACACACACACACACACACACACACACACACACACACACACACTGGACAATGGCATCATCCTAGACCTCCAGGGTCCTTTAGAGCCTTTCTCCTCTTCTCTATGCTAAAAGCCCACAGATCTCACTGTGACAAGGACCAGGTCTGCTCAACTGCTCATTGCGCCCTTTCTGGACCAGGCAGGCCTGCCACCCAAGGGATTGAAGCAGCCACATTTTCAAATGCGAGGTGCTTATATTTCTTCTGACCCTAGAATTTCTTTGAAATTTTTCTTCAGTGACTCAAAATCCCCTCTTGGTTGTGGGATAAATAAAAATATGCTGGGCATCCCCGGAGCTGGAGCAGCGAGCAGCCGCGCGAGAGTGAGAGGTTGGCCTGGTGAGAGACAATGGCCAAGAACAAATGGAAAGGGCAGAAGCCCAGGAATGTATTTCACATAGCCAGCCAGAAACACTTCATGGGGAAAAGTAAAGCAAAACCAGTTACCACAAATCTTAAGAAGATAATCATTAAGAACACTGAAAAAATTAAAAGAATGAATGAAGCTTTTGTGAACATACAGAAGGAGCTTGCTCACTTCTCTCCAGGCCTTTCCCTTGAACCTCTGCAGAAACAGCCGGCTCTTCAGCCGAGTCAGGAAAACAGACCAGTGAATGTTGATGAAGCTACGAGATTAATGGCTCAGTTGTAATGCACCTGGTGATGCATCAGATTCCCCCAAAGACCAATAAATTAAATGCTTTATACAAAAAAAATAAAATAAAATAAAAATATGCTAATGATATAATCTTACTCTTAAGTTATTAGTAAAAAGACCAAAAGACCAGACTCTTAAATCAGGTCCTCCTACATGCCCCAAGCTTTTCGTATACCTTTTAGGAAAAAATAGCAGATGACTCACACTGACATACTAACCATGGTAGCTCTGGGTTGTCCCATTCACTAAGACTCTTTCACTGTGGTTACTTCCCATACATTATCTCTTTTAATCCCCAAAGCAAACCCATTAAATATGTTATGATTCCCACTCTACAGATGAGGGAAATAAAGCTCAGAGATTTTAGGTGATTTGACCACAGTCACATTGCTAATAATTGAGGAACTTGATATTTGAAACCATGACTGTTGCCCTCTAAAGTTGAGTTGTGTCTGGTTATCTATTGCTTTATAGCAAACCATTGAAAATATGTGCAATGGAAAGATAAGCAGCCGACGGAATACCTTCCCAGCACCCACCCTACCCTGCAGGCCTCACTTCATCCCTTGTAGCCAACTCAACAGGTGAGTCCACAGCTTACAGATGTGCTCAGAAATGGCCACTCTGCAGCGCTTTGTTCATTTTCAGGCCAACTTTGTCCCTTTTATGCATATGGTACAGATCTCTGATGTCCTCACCAGTGTATGTGCTTTCATGTGCTCAAACTAGCCTCCAAGTTTTATTTCAAAAACAAAGTTTGGCTCTACTAGCAACTACTCCTGTGACTGCCACCTGGCTTTGCATTGAGAGAGGAGGAACACCTACTGGAGACCCCTTTTGTGAAATTCACTTTCATGTGCCCTTGGGGCAGAGGCTGCTGGCTGCCCCCCAGTATCTGTTCTTTCCTCACCACCTCAGTAAGGGGACCCTGGGGTTTTAATTGGGCTAGAGTCACCGGAGAAAATGCAGGACTCTTAGTTAAATTCGAATTCTAGCTGAACAATGAAATTTTTCTTATTGAAAGTGTATCGCAACTATTGAATGGGACATGCTAAAAAATTATTATTTTCCCAAAATTACAATTTAACTGGGTGTCCTGTATCTGTTGTTGTTGTTGTTTGTTGTTAAATCTGGCACTGGACTGCCCTGAATAAAGATGGAATGTCTCAGTTTCCCCTGAAGTTAGGTGAGACCATGGGACAAAATTCTGGCCAAAGGGATGTAAATAAATACATTTTTTAAAGGAAGTGATGTCCCCTCTCTCTGCTTCCCGACTGCCTGCTGGAATGTGGATCTCCGGCCGCCATTCTGGACTGTGAGGCGACCTTAGGAATGAAAGCCACGTGTGGCAGAGCCACAGGCTAGGAGGAGCCTGGTACCTGGTCTAGAGCATGCGCGCGAGCTAAACTTCTATCTTATTGGAGCCACAACTGTTTTCTTTTCTTTTTTTTGCTACTTGTATGTCATCTAATTCTCACTCAACCTTGAAATGAGGTGTATTATTCACATTTTGTCAATAGAATCCTGAGAGTGAGAGAAATGAAGTAGCTCATGCCAAGCTGATCACGTGGTAATTGTTGAGCTAACTTTGGAAACCCAGTGTATCTGAAGGTTTTCCCAGACTGTCATTTTTTCTACACCACAGTACCTCTCTGGGTGAGAATTTTTATCAAATTCCCACGTGTTTTTTGTAAAATAATATCAAACTGGCTTTGCATGTGTGGTATCTAAAACATTTAGCTGTCTCCCTCATCACAAATACAGAATATGGAGTTTTCTGACATCTGTTAGTGTTAGATGGTCCAGACCTCCATCCTGATATTTAATATTTGAGAGAACTTCACCAAAGGACACGTGATGTATTTATTTCCTTTAGGGTCTCTAAAGAAATGTGTCTGGTCTGTATTTCAGTAGTTTCCTACAAAAATGTCTAAACTGAGTTATGATTCCACAAGAAGTCTTCCGCTTTTAGAGAGAATCAGTATTAAAAGGTCTGTTTGAAGAATGTGTCTGTATCTGTTGAAACACATTGTGTTGCTTGCTGTTTCTTGTAAAACATCATTTTCATGCAATAAATTTCACCTAGAATTTAGTGGCAGAAGAAAAATTTAAAAACATATATTCAGATGCAATTCTATGGGGGGTTTTTTTTGCTTGTTTTATTTTGGGGTTTTTTTTTTGTTTGTTTTTTTGTTTTGTTTTTTTGCCAAACATTAAGAGAATAAAAGAGCCTAACAATTGCTATTTTATTTTTGAGCTAAATCTCACATTCATTTGAAAGTCATTCATTCAACCACCCAACTACTAAAATATTTATTTCTGGTTTTCTTCTTTGTTCATCTATTTTTTGTTTCTGTTTCTCTAATATTTTCTTTCTGATTTCCAATCACCCAATTTAGGTTATATTTTTATTATCATCCATCACCTCAAGTTTACCTTCATTTATTTAACAAGTGTTTATTCATTGTCTTCCTGCATAGAGTACTTTCCTGGAAGGAGGTAGGCTACAGGCTATAAATTCCTAACTGGGCCTTTGCTTGTAACTCAAGATCACTATTTTCTTTTGAAAAGGACTCACAAACCTCTACCAAATAATCAATTCCAGAACTTAGGTGAGGTTCAGTGGGAAACCCAATGTTTCCCAAACTTCAGGTGGATATTTTTTTCCTATTTTGAAAATCGAGATCTTAGCCCTATCACTCCAGAAGACCTGTGGCAGCCACCCATTTCAGGCACCATTAATAGGACCAATCCCAGGAGACAACTGTGGACGGAGCAGCATTTAAACAGCTGCTCCCTTCTTTTCATCAGGGGGCTCTTCTCTGGGTTCCCAAACACTCAATACTTCTGGGCCTTCTTCTCACCTGCTTCCAGGTCCCAACGTCCTTGTCAAAGGACTTCACGTACATTATTTCTACCTCTTCCTGAACACTGCCCTTTTCTCTCCCTGGGAACAACGGAATCTTAGCCCTTATAGCAAGTTAGGGAACAAAGCCTTTATCCTCATGAAAGGAAATGAATACTATGCTAGTGAACAGGTCCAAAAAAAAAAAAAAAAAAAAAAAGCGAGAAGCAAGCCCTGAGGGAGAAAGGAAGAAACCCAGGCCTTCCCGGGTCTGGACTCAGCCCATGGCTGGGGAGTCTTGGGTGCCTGTGTTGTCCTGCCCAAGGATGCGCCCAGCAGGTTCACGTCTCCATGGTGATGCAGCCTGGTTTAGCAAATATTACTAAGCTCTCAGAGTGGAAAAAAAAACAAAACACCCAGCAGACAAATTGAAAGTCTTTCTGCTAGGCCAGGGAGGTGAGATTGGAAATCTTATTGTTGACCCCCACCCCCAGGAACGGTCGACCCCATCTTCTAGGGGCACCTGCATTTGGGGCTGTTTTAAGCTGAAAGGAAAGACCAGCCACAGCCTGTATTCCGGAAGCATGCTGCTGATCATCAGGCCTCTTCACCAATTCACTGCCCTCCTGCGCTTCCCCTCAGCCCACACTCTCTTCCCAGCAGGTGGTCCCTGAGGCTGCCCCCTCCCCGCCTCACCAGGGTAACCCACCTGCAGCGACACTTATGGTTTCCAAAGCACGTTCCCGCACCGGGTGAGGGAGGTTTGTACACTCGGCCTGGCTGTGGAGAACAGGCCCAGGACAATTTACTGACTGGCTGCAGGTGGGAAACGGCAGAGCTGGGACTCAGGGGCCACAGCTTTAAGTCGCAGACAAGAGTTACTTTCCGTTTTCTTCAGCGAACGTGTCTGCTGGGAGCCAAAGTCTGGCCCCTCTGAGGAGCCTGGCCCGGCCCATCCTTGCCTTGTCTCCCCCCCTCCCCCCCGCCAATTTGCTCTGGCTTCTGGCGTCCCGGTTGGCAGGTTGTGGTGCTCCGTTCCCAGACTGTGAGTTTGTCGGTGGCAGATCCGTGTCTGGTTCAACTCCGACTACCCCGTACCGCACATGGCAGGTGAATCATAAGCAACAAAGGGATGAATGGATTTGGAACGAGGCCTCAGTGCTGTCTCACCGACATGCTACGAGCACGCTGGTCCTTGCTGCGCCCTGTGCAGACAAAACAGCCAGACGGTTTGCTCGGCCAAGTTAGCTCCCTGCTGCGTCCTCGTGTGAATGAGCCGCCTCTGGACGCTGTGGGACGTTTCGGTGGGAAAGCTTTAAGGCCCTGGAGTGATGTCCGCTTCCTCAGGCCTTATCAGAAAATCAAACAAACCAGAATATGAGTTTCCTTCTGCTTTAATAGCTTTGGCACTGCGGTCGATGGAAACAGCGTCGTTTGCAGTTCCTGGCTAGCCCAGTGGCACATCTGGCCAGTCACGACGCAGGAGAGAAGGGACTCTTTCATCCGCAGCAGCCGGGGGAAGGCCTCTGGGTGGGTCGGGCCCTGGGAATGTTTGTGAAGTGCCATTCGAGAAACTCCAGCAGAGCTGGGATGACGAATTTCACAACTGAAATCGGGACTCTTGTCCAGAATAAAGTTTGGGTATTTTTATGAAATCACAGAACAGAAGAGATCCTAAGTGAGGGTAATTCATCTCTCCCTCACTGCTCTGCAGGGCAGCACAGCACTGAAATTCTCCTCGAAAATTTGCTTTCCTTTTTTAAGTCTCCAGAATAAGAAAGTCTTCAAACCTCCCTGGATGATCCCTTTAAATGCCTCACAACCTTCATGGGAAGGAAAATTTCCTTCTAACCTAAACCGCTCCTGCTGAAATTCAAATTCATAAGTTCTTATTTAGGGATCAGGCCAAGGATTGAACGCCGTCATCAATTCGCATCCATACATGAAGTAAACTTACTGGGGTTTTTTTAAGATGTCCTGAAATCTATTAGCCTCTTTGTTGCAAGTTCCACATACCCAACTCAGAAACAAACAATGAAGGTCCTCTAAGCTGAGGAGGCCCCGTCTAGGAATGGAGTCCCATAAGCCAGGACAGGAGACGCGTTGAGCAAAGCCCTGGGAGAGGGAAGGGGATGGGATCAAACCATCTGTCATTCCCACGAATGGAAAGTACGGAGATA